ATTAATACAATGCAACTTTAGTGATCGGCATAGGTGAACTAACTAATGTGTCATTCAATTTAATACAATCAAAACTATAGGATACATACTGACCATAGGGTAATTTGGTGCACACGCAACAATCAAGAACCAGAGAAGCCGCCTCCAAAATCAAGAAGCACTCTAAAACAAAGAAGGTTGATTTTCGGTCACAATTTAACCACATGATCGAACTAAGGTAGCTACACGAAAAGGGTTATTAATTACTTACCACCCAATATAGAACATTCTTCAAAAATCAACAGCCTTCACTAGCGTGGTGGTTGCCAAAAATGGTGGGGGGAGCTGCGGCTGAAGAAAAGTTAACCGAGCAAAGAAGAAGAGGAGGGAAATGGGGTTTTCATTGCTCTTGCAGCCCTTTATCATCATCGGGTTAATTGGACAGCCGGTGATGATTCTAAGTTTTTTCGCCGGATCGTAGATTATGGTATTCAGTGTCTGAACAAAACGGCAGTAAAACTTTCTTATCACTGTTGGCATGAAAAGGGTGGGAAGACGTCTTCAATTATTGCGATTTCCACCGCCGAACCATACGATCAACCGACGGTGCTACATAAGCATCACCGTTGGATCTTATGGTGTAGGGTCCAACAATCTTGGCACCGGTGGTGAAAACTTGTTATCTCTGACGCCTTCTATGCGCGTCGCACATCGGATCAATGGCCGGCGGTGGTAAGCGTTGCACAGCCGGTTCGGCGTACGATACGGTGGCGATGCCTGGCATTTTGTTCACCATCAGATCATACGTTGAGCCAGCGGCGAAAACATTCATCACCGCTGGTTATTCGGCCAGGAGGGGCCCCATAGGTCATAAGCCAGTGGTGATACGTATCATCGCCAGTTATCTCAAAACCGTTGGTGAAGGCCCTAGCAGTGAATAGACTTTCTGTAGTAGTGTCACCTCATCCTACATGACGTTGTGTGAGAGTATGTTTTAAGGAACTCTATATGTGAAGTTGTTTTGTCAAATGATTTACCAAAACAGCTTCAGCTCCACCGATAGAGCTGTTTACGGAGCTGAAGCCCCCAAAAAATAGCTTCACTAGTGAAGTGGACCGTGCCAAATAGGACCTTAGTGTACATTTGTGTGGCAATTATGATACTAGTGCTAATTAATATATTTTATCTTTAATTAGTGATTGTCATGACAAAATTAGTGTTAGTGTGTAATTAGTAGTTGTTATTTTAAACAATAGATACAATTAGTCAACTATGTTTATCCCATCCACTCTCATACATCCAACCAAACAAAAAAATAGTTCATCCCATTTATTAAACTAAACAAGAAGCATTGATAAACCCATCCCAAAATTCATGAATGGCCATACACGGATATCCCATCTTGCATTCACTGTGTCTGCTTACTCTATATAAAGCACTACTACATAGGCGGGCGGAATTAGTTAACGAAGGTAGACATTGCAACCGCCTCCGTTCAAAGGTCTCCGTTAATATGGATTAACGGAGGCAATTGCTTTGCCCACCTCAGTTTTAAGACGCCCGGCTGGCGTCTTAACATGCCCGTCTCCGTTAACGTTCTTCAGAAAACTCAAAAAACCAAAAAACTTGCAACTTTGGAGAGTCAAACTCATGACCTGTCGCTTAACACTACCACGTCTCTACCATTGCACCGCACACTCATTCAAGTCTATACATACTACATTATTGTTTTATATCAATATTTCGTAATCTTATATTGGATGTTTTGGCTACTAAATAAACTCAAATGAAAAAAAACATTTAACTACAAAGTTTTAAATCTTGTCAAGTACTACAACTTTGGTATAGAATGAATCTCCATCAGAGATAGTTTGAAAATTTCAAAAAATTGAGTCTCATGTGAATTTCAAACACATATTTGAGACTCTAGATGACTTTAAATCAGAAACTTATCAATATCAAACATGTAGAACAGGTCAGCCACCAGAACTTTGGTATTAACTATGTGAACATTTGTGATTCAAAATTATAACCTTTGAACATATATTTGGGACTCTAAATGTCTTCAAATTAAAAACTTTTAACTATAAAGTTGTAGATTTTATTGAGAACTGTAACTTTTGTATAGACCACGTCAACGTCCAAGATCGTTTGACAATTTTTAAATTTTAAATTTTAAAATATGTGCACTTACAATAATATTTTGGAAAACTAAACAGTTTCACTTCAAAAAAATTTCAACTACAAAGTTGTAGATCTCGTCAAGAGCTATAATTTTTATATAAAATTTGTCTTCATCCGAATTCATATGAAAAAGTTATGAATTATTTTTTATAAATCGATTTACGAAGGTGGACGCTTATAACGACCGCCTTCGAAAATAATCGATTAACGAAGGCCAACGTCTTAAGTTGCCCGCCTCGGTTAACCTCCGTTAAGCATTAATCGAGGCAGGCGCTCAGCCCGCGGCCCTGCCACCGATTAATGGAGGCGGCCGCCTCAGATAATAAAATGGCACCATCTCGCAAAATCTTTTTTAGTGCAGCTGTACAATTTCGCATGCAATGTTTCCATTAAGCTTTCTTCTATAAAACATATGGCAAAGCACGCCTGCCTACTAGTTGTCTATATACAACCAAGATTAGAGAGCGAAACAGATCAGGGGTCACAAATCTCACTCTGGAACCAACAACAGTTATCTGCCAACTATTGGAGTTGTTCCAAATACACTCCAAGATATAGGCCGGGCTTCTGACGGAGCGGGTTTATCTCCAAGCGAGCCTCCAAAGTATAAGGCAAGGTTAGTTGCTAAAGGCTACAGTCAAATTCGGGGAGTTGACTACAATGATGTGTTCTCTCCAGTGGTAAAACACAGTTCAATTCGTACTTTCCTTAGTATTGTTGCTTCACATGATCTTGAGCTTGAGCAGTTAGATGTGAAGACTGCGTTTTTGCATGGAGAGCTTGAGGAGGACATATACATGGACCAACCAGAAGGGTTCATAGTGCCTGGCAAGGAAAATATGTGTGCAAGTTGAAGAGATCCTTGTATGGTTTGAAACAGTCCCCTCGTCAGTGGAACAAGAGGTTTGATTCATTTATGTTAGCACACAGTTTTAAAAGATCTAAGTATGATAGCTGTGTTTACATCAAGCATGTTAATGGATCACCTATATATTTTTGTTATATGTTGATGATGATATCTTTGATTCTTTGTCAAGAGTAAGATTGAAATCACTAAGTTAAAGAAGCTATTGAGTAGTGGTTTTGATATGAAAGATCTTGGTAGTGCTAAGAAAATTCTTGGTATGGAAATTAGTAGAGATGTAAAATCAAGTCCGCTATTTCTTAGTCAACAAAATTATATCAAGAAAGTTCTTCACGTTTCAACATGCAAAATGCTAAGGTCTGTTAGTAGTACCCCTATTGCACCTCACTTTAAGTTGTCACCGCTCAAGATATCCTAGTACAGATGCGAGATTGAATACATGTCAAGGGTTCCTTATTCTAGTGCTGTTGGGTCTTTGATGTATGTCATAGTTTGCTCTCGTCCAGATTTGTCATATGCTATGAGTCTTGTTAGTAGATATATGTCTAATCCTGGTAAAAAACATTGGAGGGCAGTTCAGTGGATTTTCAGGTACCTCAGAGGCACAATGATTCTGTTTAAAGTTTGAAAAAAACGATAAGGGTCTTATTGGCTATGTGGATTCTCGATTATGATGTTGATCCGACAAAGCGAAGATCACTTACTGAGGTTATGTGTTTATTGTTGGCGGTTGTCTTTGTGAGTTGGAGGGCTACTTTACACTCGCTTGTTGCTTTGTCTACTACTACTCAAGCAGAATATATGGCTATTTGTGAAGCGTGCAAAGAATTAATTTGGCTGAAAGGTTTGTACGCTGAGCTTTGTGGAGTTGAATCTTGCATAAGTTTGCATTGTGACAGTCAAAGTGGAATTTAACTCACTAAAGATCAGATGTTCCATGAGAGAACTAAGCACATAGATATCAAGTATCATTTTGTGCGTGATGTGATTAAAGAAGGTAAGCTGAAGGTATGCAAGATTAGTACTCATGATAATCCTGCTGATATGATGACAAAGCCTGTTCCTGTTGCTAAGTTTGAGCTGTGCTCAAGCTTAGTTGGTTTAATTGGATAGTCCAAGAGACTATTGGTGACACTAGTGGTTTTCTATCTTTGTTATGTTCAGGATGAATGATTGATTTATGATACAAGATGAATTTGTCTCAAGGTGGAGTTTGTTGGAGTTGTTCCAAATTCACTCCAAGATATAGGCCGGGCTTCTGACGGAGTGGAGCGGAGGCCCGTCGCCGGAGCGTAGCGGAGTCTGAAGCCGGCCCATCAGGTCTTGCCCCTGTGCTCGGGGGGGTGCGGGGGGCGAAGCCCCCCACGGTACGGTACGGTATATACACCCTTGCTAGGATTTCGTGGAGACTCGATTCTCTTGTAAGCCGCCATAGGCGTGTAACCCAAAACTCTTGAGATAGTGAGATTGTTGCTGGCTGGTGCCCGTGGTTTTTCCCCTTCACATCGGAGGGGTTTTCCACATTAAATCGTGTGTCTACTCTGTGGCTTGATTCTTTACTTCATATTCCTATACGTCGTTCATAACACAACATTAGTGGAAACAAGTCAGGTAACACGTATACAGCAAGTCACCTACCTGGATGGTTGAATCAAGGCACATTAGTCGAGCACGGAGAGCACAGAACAGCCAAATTGAGCTGTTCGGTGTTCCATTAAACAGAGAATTCACTTGTCAGCGATCACCTGCCCTGCTAAGCGCTCGCTGACATGTACATAAAGCATCTAATATTTACAGCGTCCAAAACATTAGCATACTACCAGAAACAGGTGGAGCCCTGAAGGAAGGAGGCTCTAAAGCAATGCATCAATCAAGAGGTCTCTGGTCACCTGCCATCAGAGGAAAGATGCAACAGCAGAAGGCTCAAGAAAAGATCAAATACCAGAAACAGAAGTTGAAAAATGCCCTGCAGTTAATTTACTGCAGGGCAAGCAGCAGCTCCAGTGCCAACACGCCTCCTTAGTCTTGCACGGGTCACTCGGATTGCCGCCTCCATTGGTGTCTTCTCTGGAGTCGAATCATGCTCCGCCATGTCTTCAGTAGCAGCATCAGCACCATCGATGACCATGTGCGTTTCAGTCTCAGGAAGCAGTGAAGCATCAGCCTCATGAATTGGCGCATTTGCATTATTGGCTGGAGCTGGTGCTTCCTCCGCCACTAAGTTTGCTGTACTGGTTTTAGTTTCCTCGGCCAGGTTTGCTGCATTTGGTGGGAGGGGCTTTGTAAATGCCACTGGAGCAGACTTTGAAGTTGTTAGACGCCTGACCTTGGTGGTAGCTGGAGCAGCCTGTATTCCCTGTGACTGCGATGTAACTCCGAGTTGCCGAGCAGCAGCAGAGGCTGCTCTCTGAAGCGTTATAGGCTGTTTCGGTGGCGCCTGTTGCTGCTGTTGGGGTTGTGATTTATGCTGTTTTTGTGACTGTGGTTGCTGTATCAAGAAAGATTCAACAAAATAACCTTAGAAAATAGGAGATAACTACAATAAATAAGATATAAAAACATAGTTATTTATTAGTGATTAAGTTGATGCTGCTATGGCATCTTCAAATATCTCGTTAGCCAAGGATGTGAAATTAGAAAAGGAAAAAGAAAATCATCGCATTAGTTTTATTTTAAGACCATATAAGACTTTCCATCATATCATAGAAATGTCTACCATATTGTGTACCATTTTCTCAAAATATCTAAACATGTTAGATATAATGATCAGTAAACATGGCATGTTGCAAGAAATCTAAACTTCATTTTTCCAACTGTGATAGGCCTATCTTTGTTCAGAATAGGATAAGTAAATGCCGAATAATGTATTACATCTGCTGATAAAAACCGAGTAGTATTTCTGATTTCACAACATGACTACATTACTAAACTATCAGAAAAAGGAAAACCACCACGGCTGAGGAACAATTTGTCATTGCTATCACCTTGGATTAACTTTACCAAACAACGACAGTGTTGCTTAATATTTAAGGATTTTTACACTTGTTTTGTCCACAAATGTCTGGCTGCCAAATAGGGAAGATAAAATGTATCCATTATGGGTTTGCTTCAGAGTACAGATACCTGAGCACCAGTTAAAAAAAAACAGTTCTGGACCACAGTGCTAAGCTGGTATGAGTACAGACTGGTGTCGTAATGACACTGTGATCCACACATGTCCCAGACAAATGTCATGCAAGTGTCTTATCACTTCTGAGTAGCTTTTCCATTTGAAAGTACATTATTGGGGGCACCTCAAGGGACAAAGACATGATATTTCCCATTAAGGCACTTTCTGACATGTGTTAATAAGGGGTGTAATCGATGGCCTTAATTTTGGCAGTAGCTGGAGAGAGAGTTGTCTCATAAATTTCCCCACATAACATGAACAGTTACAACCCAACAATGTACCAGATGCTTAAAACTTAAAAGGAATCTTATCTGGTAACAATTCTGAAACTATGTCCAAGACAGTTCAGGTAAAGGCACTCGCAATGGTAGTGTCTCTCTAGTTCTAGGTTCAAACCAGCCTCCTTGCAATATTAAGCAAGGATACGGCTGTCAACAAATTCCGTTCAATGGGTAAACACTCAAGCTGTTTACACATTAATAGATGCAATCACTTCACCAAAAAGTTGGAAGAACCATGTGTGAAACCATTTAAACCCAGTAAAAGGAATTTGTTTTGTCATGTCTATCATGGATTCAAAGAAGTGAACCAATGAAGGACTTCATTATGGAGTTAACGAGGTGGTAGGAACAATTAGGATTAAACATTTAAACCTTCTAGTATGTTATTAAGAGTCTGATACATATGAGGTTTCAACGTGCCTAATAATAAGACAGATAATTGAATTGTGCATTAAATTTGGCATTCAACCTATAGCGATAAAACCAATCACAGCTAATAGAATGAGTTTTTGACTTTATGACCTTCAGATATCATATCTAAAAACATTAGTTAGAGGAGTCAAAAGGTGGTTTCCAATATGTATTCAGGATCAAACCAAGTTTCTTTTTTAAGAAAATCCATGTATGTTTAGGTACACAATGTTCATATTCAAACACAAAACATATGCAACAGGCAAAGATACTTAGAAAAGTTTGGGTGAATGCACAAACCTATTAATGTGGAGAATGAAACTTACGGATAAAGCTAGTCGAAGCACAGAAATAGATTATGTGACATCAAGGATACAAAATTCAGTCTTAGCAAGAGCAAAAACTGGTTTAGATATAACAGGTGAAACAGGGGGTTTAGATATAACAGGTGAAAAAGGCATTTTCTTCAATAACTACCTCAGTACAACTCGAATTTTCATGAAATGAATTTTGATGTCACATTTTACTCTCGCACCTGTGAAGAATGTGGTCTAGATAACTGAGATGGTGACAGTAGTGCAGCAATATACTTCAAAATACTGAAGAGTGTATTTTGTCCCAGAGTCGCAGACTTTTGCCAGTAAATGATAAGCATATCGCTAGCTCTTGGTCTAAACTCGAGAATATTACGATCGATGTCATTCTCATGCTGTGATATGTATGGCCTAAAGAAGGTCTCATAGACATAGGTTCTTCCCTGTAATAAGTGCATACATCAGACTGATACAAGCCTTGTGCAGAAACAAAAACCTCAAGTTTGGCGTGAAAAAAAAAATCAAGCACCTTTGTCTTCGGACACCATAAGTATATAAAGAATATTAACTTGGCTTCTGAGTACAGTGGTAACCTCCCATAAGACCAATAGAAAACAAAAGTTTAGACAGTTTATAATCATGACAAGGAAAATCCAACACTCTTACCATGATATGGTAAAATCCCCAAATCCTTCCAAGACAGTTAACAGTGAAACTAAAATCCTGGACACGTGAAATATATAGTCAAAATTGTATTCATGTGGCACATCTGAACTCAAGCATTGAAAATAACATCTGACCAATATTAACACCAAAAAATGAGATGCTCAATCTCTGGCTTGTTCAGCTCCACGGTCTTGTAGCATTCATAAGCAGGATAAGCATAGCCAAAGGCCATCCTACAGCACGAAATTGGCACATGAGCACCAAAACATAAATGATAAACAAAAATAACAATATTGGCACATAAGCACCAAAACACTAGGAAAAGAAATCTTGCCTAGTTCATCCACAAAAACAATTGATAAAACAGACCACAGCTAACCATCACAGAGATGCATCAAACAGTTTTCGTGAGGATCCATAAACTGAAGAGCGCACACATTTAAATTGTTCTCGCACCCAGTAAATAAATCTAGGAAAACCACCCCTAAAAATAGAGCAATGAGCACTGCAGATCACAGGAAACTAGCATGGAAAATATCATGTAGCATTTCAAGACATTTGATTATTACATCAAGACATTTGATTATTACATAGAGCTTGAAGATCGTGACAGCAATTTGATTTTGTTATTAATGGTTGACTGAAGAAACTTGTAAAAAATCACAAGACTCAAAATAACTGAAGTTTGCCGTGTATATGTTATCTGCTTCAGACTAATCAATAACAAAAGTAAAATACATAGATTTTCTCCATGCCCTACTCCACAGAAGAAGATTGCAGACAAATCGATAGAAGGGATGTTAGAATTTATATAGATAATTCCCCTACATCCATATGAAGAAATTCTAATAAATCTCAAAGGCTCAATACTTGAGTTCCCTAATGGGCTTTAATGTTTAAGCCCATGAGTAGAGGTGGGAGGTACAACATCAATTAGTATCATATTGCTAATTGATGTGAAGGTAGGGGATTCTCATCCCTATATATATGTACCAATCCTCCAGGAAAAAGACACACCAAAAACTACTATTGGAAGTTCTAGTTTACAAAATCCAAAGGTTGTAAATTAGTATTTTCCTCTTCTCGCTGCTGCGCCGCCGCCGTAGTCTCTCCATCTCAGCATCTGCGTGCACCAACGTTTGGGAGAGCAGGTCTCCGGAACCCTCGTCCTTGTGATCCTGCACCGGGAGAGGACGAATAAGGTTTTTGGGAAGCTCTCGTCGTGCGACTGCTCCCGACTTTCACGACGCGCCATCTTCCATCCAAGTCAGGCGGCGCTACGTCCCGGCGTATTCGTCGTCAGCTGCTCCGAGCTCTTCCTTCACCACTCATCGAAGACTTAGTACCACCACCACCAGCGTCTCCCTCTGCATCATCTTCACTAGCGACACCATTTTTTTCTGCAAACAAAAGGTACACACCACGTGATCAATCTATTATTGTCATTCATCTACTGTGTTGATCATGATGATCTTAGCTATGTTGCTAGCTATATTGCTATTAATGCTGCCTGATTTAGCTAGTATGTTAGAGATCTGCATGCTAGTTTATGAGATTGTCATGATTTGTATTCTGCTATTAATCTGGAAATTAATCAGAAAATTGCATAATTATTGAACAATCCAAAAACCTTATAGTTGGCCTTTTTCTGAATTATCTATGGCTAGTTTCGCTGATGCGCTGAGGCCGAAAAAGTTTTCTGGTGCGCACTTTAAGAGATGGCAAGTAAAGGTCACCAATTGGTTAACAGCCATGAAAGTGTTCTGGGTGAGCGCTGGCATACCCGAGGGAAATATCTCTGAAGAAGATCTGAGAAAATTCCAGGATGCCAACGAGATCTTTGTGGGAGCTGTGTAGAATGTACTTTCTGATCATCTGTTTGATTCAACTCTGCACATAAAAGATGCAAAGACGTTGTGGGATCATCTGAATGGTATTATGGTGCATCAGATGCTGACAGTGAGCTATACATCATGGAGAGCTTTCATGACTACAAGATGGTTGCTAATCGATCTACAGTCAAGCAAGGTCATGAGGTTCAGCATCTGGCTAAGGAACTTGAACTCCTTAAGTGTGTCATACCCGATGAATTTGTGGCTGGGGTGCATTATTGCTAAGTTGCCTCCTTCATGGAGGGGCTTCGCCATAAGCCTTAAACACAAGAGACAGAAAATATCAATTGAAAACCTGATAGCATCTCTTGATGTTGAGGAGAAGGCTCAGGCTAAGGACAACATTGTGAAGGAGAACGAGGGGCATCCTAGTGCCAATTTTGTCTAGAGAAACCCACATGGCAAGAACAAAGGAAAGAATAAGCAGAGTTGCCTTGCTTCACTTGTGGAGAGCTTGGCCACTTTTCCAAAGAGTGTCTGGAGCGAGCGGACAACAAAGGGAAAAAGAAGAATGTCAACCTCGTGACTACTAGCAATGCTGATGATGAGTATGGTAATCTTCCTAGTGTATTATCAATGTTTCAATATCGAAGTTGGTGGGTTGATACTAGTGCTAATATTCATGTGTGTGCTGACATCTCTATGTTTTCTTCTTATCAGGGGCTCCAAGGTGTCTCCGTCCTAATGGGGAATGGGTCGCATGCTTCTGTTCGTGGTGTTGGCACGGTGCATCTGAAGTTTACTTCGAGAAAGATCGTGCAGCTGAGGAACGTGCAGCATGTCCCTACTATACTAAAGAACCTAGTTAGCGTATCCCTTCTTTTGAGAGATGGTTTTAAGGTAGTGTTAGAGTCCAATAAAGTAGTAATGTCTAAGCATGGACAATTTATTGGTAAAGGCCATGATTGCGGAGGCTTGTTCCACCTATCTTTGGCAGATTTTTATAATAAGTCAGTGAATCACATTTGTGGCACAATTAATGATATTTCAAGTGTTTGGCATTCTCGTTTATGCCATGTCAATTTTGGGTTGATGTCACGTTTGTCTAGCATGAGTTTAATTCTATATTTCACTATTGCCAAAGGTTCTAAGTGCCATAGTTGTGTGCAATCAAAGCAACCTCGAAAGCCTCACAAGGCAGTGGAGGAGAGAAACTTGGCACCTCTAGAACTCATACATTCTGATCTATGTGAGATGAATAGTGTGTTGACAAAAGATGAAAAGAGATATTTCATGACTTTAATTGATGATGCAACTAGATTTTGCTATGTTTACTTGCTGAAAACTAAAATGAAACTCTAGACTACTTTAAACTCTATAAGGCCAAAGTTAAGAATCAACTAGAGAGAAAGTTTAAGTGTCTAAGGTCGGATCATGATGGTGAATATTTTCCTAGATTATTTGATGAATTCTATGAGGAACATGGCATTGTTCATGAGAGGACGCCTCCCTATTTGCCCGAATCAAACGGGGTTACCGAGAGGAAGAACCGCACGCTAACTGACTTGGTGAATGCCATGTTAGACACTGCAGGTTTATCTAAGGTATGGTGGGGGAGGCTTTATTGACTGCAAGTCATGTCCTGAATAATTCCAAACAGAAATAAAGAGACAGCCCCATATGAGAATTGGGTTGGGAGGAAACCATCACTTTCATACTTGCGCACGTGGGGATGCTTGGCGAAGGTCAACATACCAATTTCTAAGAAGCGCAAGCTTGGACCAAAGAATGTAGATTGTGTCTTTCTAGGAGATGCTCATCAGAGCATTGCTTATAGGTTTTTAGTAGTAAAATCTGAAGTTCCTGATATGCATGTTGATATAATTATGGAATCTCGTGATGCTACGTTTTTTAGAACACATTTCCTATGAAAGATATACTATTGGAAACTCGCATTCTTCTGTATGTGCAAAAACACACAGAAAAATGCGAATACCATCAGAAAAATATTTTTCTGACGGTATACCCTCAGAAAAATACACACGGAAATATAATGATAGAAAAATTCAATTGTTCTGTGTGTTCGCCGTTAGAAACAATTTTCTGTGGGTGTTACACGCACAGAAAAATTATGTTCGGCCAGATTAAAAATAAAATTTCTGTGCATTATTCCTCATAGAAAAAAGAAAAAACCCAACAGAAAAATCATTTTTCTGTGGGTGTTACATGCACAGAAAAATTGTATTTTTCTGTCGGGTTAGGTGAACGCACATAAAAATTGTTTAACAGACCACCGACAGAATGATATACACTTACCCATATAGCAAATTGGATACAATAATTATTTAAAAAATAGTAGCAACAACATATTAAAATATGGACTGTCCATATAGTAATTTCATCGCAACATATAAAGATGGAGTCCAAATGTTCAGCACATTGATTCATAGCATCCAGGCTATATGTAAATGATGTCCAAATGTTCCGGCATCAATACATTCAAAAGCATTACCATCTCATCTCAGCAGTTCATGAATTTCACTACTTCAGTTTCCCTCTCCTCAGTAATCATGGGGGTGCAGAGCAGCGAAGGCCAGGTGATATTCTCCTCCATCGCCCTGCTGCAGCAGAGGTTCAGGGAGCTGGAGAGGATCAGGGAGAAGCAGAAGGAGAGGCTTCTCTACGTGCTCACCCCCGCCCTGCGGCCACCACCTCCCCGAGGGAGATGCCCATGAAGTGGTTCTTCCACCCGAAGCTGCTCTACCCGTGCAGGCCGCTACATGACACCACCGCCGCCTCCTTATTCCCGGCCGTGCCAACCACTGTCTGTGAATATAGCCAAAAGATGCACAGACAAAACCAGACACCGTCTCATACTGATACCCCTGCCAAAAGATATTGTCCAAGTGTCTCAAGATATCAGCCAATCTACGAGAAACATGACAGAAATACACAGCACCATATAATGATGACTGCCAAGGGCATATCTCACAAACAGAACATTTGCGAATATTTTGTTGACCTAAATATTAAATGTCCAGTTTCCACCAAAAAATAGATATAATAACGTCATATCTGTATAGATTCTGCAAACCAGGCATCTCTAAATGATGGAACTCACATTTCGATGATCATCATACGGTGTCCACTCCAACAATATACAGATGTCCAAGGGAATGCATAGCAACTGAAGAGAAAGCTAAGATCAAATGAGAAACAATACCTCTGGTATTTTGATACCAAGCTCTTCGGATAGGTGATCTATCGATGTATTTGCATCAACATCAAATGTTCCATCTCCCAGCCTTACTGTACCACTAAATATAAAACTAAGCCTAAACAAAATAAAACTAAAGATGCATTCCATAGAACTGGTCAATAAAACAAAAGTTCCAGCTCG